AGAGAGCCGGGCCCCCAGCGGCGACCACGCGCGCCGCAGCCCCTTCTTCCGGAGAGAGCCGGAGTGAGTGAGTGGAGTGAGTGAGTGAGTGAGTGGAGTGAGTGAGTGAGTGAGTGGAGTGAGTGAGTGAGTGAGTGAGTGGAGTGAGTGAGTGGAGTGAGTGAGTGGAGCGAGTGAGTGAGTGAGTGAGTGAGCGAGCGAGTGAGTGAGCGAGTGAGTGAGTGGAGGAGGGGGCGAGGAGGACGGAGGGAAGGAAGGACGGATGCGGGCGGGATGGCAGCCAACAAAACTAGAACCCCACACAGAGATGTGGGGAAAAATAAATAAACACATGTTTTCCCCTCAATATCCGCCCAACAGCTTCGCTGCGCCCGAGACCTTCACGTGCCTTCATGTCCTCGCACAGCGACCACACAGCGAAGATGAAGTACGCCTCGATTGCAGCCAGCTGACCTGGCCGTCTCTCGGTGTGCCACTACGCGGCTGCGCTGCACAGAACCTCCTGCACACCATGAGATGGTACCTGGAGAATTGAGAACAACTTCCAAGGTTTACCTTAGCTAGTTGGTTCAGGGCACCATCCAAAAACGTCCAATATCTCAGATGGAGTATCAAAGCAGCACTCTGCATCGTTGATTTCTGCATCGTTGCAGGACACCTCGAAACTGCCCCGGACCGACGGGTTTCCGCACCGAAGAAGACCACGAAGAGCACTCGCAGAAAGCCGCAAGCTCCTGCGGCCCCGGTCTGCTTGAGGCCTCCGGCCCAAGACACGCGGTGGAGAGATGCACAAGCGCCTTTGCACGGATGATACAGACAAAACTCGCCTTCGGGCACAAATGCACAAGCGCCATTCATCCACAAAGGCAGCACCATCTCAAGCGCGCCCTTAGATGAAAGGGCTTGTTCTCTGGCGCCCTTCTCTTCGGGCCCCTTGAATTAGACCAAGAACCTCAAGGGTCGCCAGATATTCGGGCCCCACTTCTCTGTTCGAATCCGTGTGCAGGCGCAAACATGTGCAAAAGGGTCAAGTCTATCGAGTATACTTCTCCGCTGGTCAGCCCTTGCCGAGATGTGGGAGTTCATGGAAGGCTTCCAATTTACCCTGCACATCGGCTGGAATGGCCCCATCCCACCGCTCGCTGGTGAACGTGTCCGTACTCTCCGACGAACACATCACATGCACGTGGAAAAGCCCCTGTTCCTAAGAGGCCTGTGTTCATCTACAGTAGTTATTTTGCACTTCCATGGAACCAGAGTCAGAGTGTATCTGCAAGCGAGAAGCTACCACGAAGCTCACCTTGGTCATGAGGCGCAGCTTGGGGGATCTGGGTGGGCTGAGTCACTCCCCATCCTCCAAGTCTTATGACCGAGACTTCTTGGAACACGCCCATACGCCCCGTTCCGATGCGACTCCCGACCTTCCACCGCCTCCAACCTCCGGCCGCGGGCGATGCTGAAAACGGGTGGCGATCATGAAGTACATGAAGGGCCGCAGGTAGGAATCACAGTGAGCATAGAGGGCATAGAAGCCTCGGGAACAGCGATCCTCTGGTCGCCGTTTTGGTGACTCAGTCAGCAGAAATTTGAACAAGTTTGCAAATTGGCAAAGCAGTACATTGGTCAGATTCAGGAAGTGAGCTTTGCTGTCTACTGCCTGGCAACTAAAGTTCGAGAACGCCGAAACCAACGAGGTCCGAGGTTGGTGGCACCGTGTGAGTCCATCGGCGTGTTTGGGCCCGGATGGGTCTGTGAGACACAGACCTTGACCGGCCTGAGACGATGAAGGGCAGTCCCAGCAATGCCGTGAACCTCGGATCGGTCTTCAGATGTAGAAACATCATATTATCCTTTGGTGACTCACTTCAAGTGGTGACTCGATCGGTGAAACCCTCGGTTCCAAAGCATTTGAAGAAGAAAGAAAAAAACAAAAACAACATACAAGCGTATCATGGACTGAAGTCCACGACTATCCACGACCCATCACTGCAAAACTGAAATCGACAGTCGATGGCACCTGGTCGCTCCATAAACCCATGGGTTGGAGTAAACAGCTGGAGCTCAAGTCTCCCATGGACCGAAGAAGGTCAACTCTGCTTCCGAATGTGCGAGGGCTCTTCTTTTTTCGCTGGCAATCGTGGAAGGCATCTAGAGAAAGGCAGGTATTGAACCGACAGCAAAAAGACGGAGTGTTTCAACATGTTTCAAGACGGTTTTGTGTTTTCCTTCCACCTTGGTCGACAGGGTATTGGATCGAAACCGACGACAGTGAGAGAAGAAGACAAAGAGACAAAGAGTCACACCCTGCGGCCAAGCCTGGCTTCAACCCACTTCAACATCCCACTGCAAACCCACAGCACTTTCTTCTAAAGATCTCAGCCAGGGCGCGCATGGAAGGTCTGTAGCTCCAAACTGCTACTGGACTCAAATCGCTCCTCTTGGAACACCACCTTGCAGACTCCAAGCATCTGCAACCTCCCACAATTTCTTGGCCCAAATCCCCTCAATCCGAAGGGAAGCAACCTGATGTGCCATGTCTTTTTCCTCAGTTGGCCCCCCTTTTGCAAGACAGGACGGGTCGTTTTGGGGGCGGCAGGGCCGTTTTGGCGTTCCGACGCCTGAGTCCCGAGTGGTCCGGAGTCGGTCATGGGAGAAGGTCGAAGCTTGGGCGGTGAAGCATTCCCCGAGGCAAGCCGGCGTGCCAGGTGGAGGAGGTTGCCCCTCATCCGTCATGTTCAAAGACCACTTTGGGTCTTCCAGAGTCTTCCATGTCCCTGTTTCTTCAAGAAATGAGAAAGTCCTTCCTGGTGTGCGTCAAAAGACTTGGAGTGACTCGACCGTACAGACTGTTGCCAGCCCAAGTGAACCCTGTACTTTCTCGATTGAAGTTCCGTGAATCGTCAGCTTTCACCAGGCACCCAATATATCCAATCACTCAGGCATTCCACCGGACCTTGAGTGGTGATGAACGGCCAGTTCGGATTGTTTCTTATTTTCCCGCCTCGCCGGTGGTGACCACCAAGACGTAAATGCTCCGGGCCTCGTCTGTGTGGCGAAGAGGCCAGAATCACGACCGGGTCGCTTCGACGAAATGGAGTTTTGAGCTTCGACGAATTCGAGTCACCACCCCGGTGTACATTTCAGGCGAAAAGAATGAGTCGAGTCGAGTCGAGTCGACTTGTTTGTTTGTTTCGTTTTTCTGGAGCTTCGTCTGGGAATTCTCCCAACAACGACTCTTGGAGCGAAAGCATTTTCCAGATCAGAGGTGAGGCTCTCTTAGCTAGAAGATCAGAATTCGTGCGTGCCTCACGTAGTACGAGAAGCATGTTGCTGTAACCACCTGCAAACATTGCCCAGGATTTTTGTTCTGAGCTGCCTCAGAACATGTCGCGAAGCGACATGCTTCGCAACTAGACTTCAAGCTTGGTGTCATGTTCAAACTATGTACGGGCTAGAGTCATTAGCCATGCTCCTGTGGGTGTGTATGGGAATAGGGAGATCCCCAACCAAGGGGATGTTGGTCTATTTTCCTTCTTCAGGGGTTTTGGGAGGCCTCCCTATTTTAATACACACTCATATGTCTGGAACCAATGGAACCTATCTCCGAACACGGGTCTTCTTCCGAACACGAGACGTGTGTACTGTATCGAGACCAGGGGCACTAAAAGAGCCCGACACTAACAAAGTGCTCGACCTATCCAAGGTAGAAACAAAGCTCCTCTTTTTCGCATCGAAAGCGACGAAACCGTCGGCCGAGGAGTTTTCTTCGACCAAGGAGCCAAATAGGCTAGCAGTATGAGCGCCACGCCGAAGGACAGAGAGCAGCCACAACAGACCCTCAGCCGCGGCACAGCCGCCAAACATGGTTCCAAGGAATTAGAGTGTCTTCCTATGTGTCCCTTCCCACACTGTCTTTGTGAGGTCCCTTTCGAAACCAAATTCAAACTGATGAGTTCTCAGGGCACATGGAACCAAACCGAGAGTGGTTCCACGGTTCTAGTGCCGATCGCCCAGCTGCTGCGTCAAGGGCTTCAAGTTTTCCAATTCCTTCTGCACCAGGTCTTCTTTGGGCTTCATGGCCTCGCCAGGTCTTCTGCACCCGCCCACAGCCAGCCACCAGTCTGGGATTTTCCAGTCAACTGATTTCCAGGTGTGGGTATGAACGCCATGCATTGATATCACATCTTGACAGCATGTAGGGCCTTGAATAAAAATTGGATGGCTCTCATATAAAAGGGAAAAGCCGTCCAGTCCGTCCCACCAAGCTGTTCTAAGAGGGGCCAACAGTTGGAACAGTTGTTGGGTTTTTCCTGCACAGTGGTGCACCACCCACTCGTGCTGTGCAGATATCGATCACCTACTCAGCTGTGATCCTGAAGTTCTGAATTCTTCCTCAATCGTTGTTGAAATCGTCCTTCAAGTTTTCTCACTTTCATCTTTTCTCATTTTCTCCATGCCAGCCTCACTCGCACCAATACATTCGATGGAGAAAAACAGGCCACCCAATGTCCATCCGAAAAGGACTCTCCCTGGTCACAAACCCGTCCATTGGCTTCTCTCTCTCGTCCCCGGGCCGCCTCTTCGTTGTTCCGGGGTCCGCTCGGTCACCCGCACCCGAGCAGAAACGGCTAGATCGGCGTGGTTCCAGGTGCTCCAGTCAAGGGCCACCATCTCCGACTTCGATAGATGCTCATGTTCGGCAACTTGACTAGCATGTACTCGCTGCATTGCAGCTACATCCAGAAGCCAGGCATCATGGCCGATCTGCCGAATGCCATGACCTTGGTTTCCTCCCTGACACTCCCCCAATGTCTTTGCTGAGTGGTCTATTTAGGTTTTAGGTTTGTGACCTGTCACGGTTGAAAGGATTAACTAAAGCTGAGATCCAGAGCCCTCTTGCACGCACAACACCACAAAGTAGCTGCCACAATGAAGCCCTCCCCATCCTCTTGGCCTACCCGATCCGAAACGGCCAGGGCCGAAACTCATCCACTCCCGACGTCGAACCCAAACCAGGACACCCCGGCTCGTTGTGCAGTTGCGCCGCCCAGCCGAAGCAGGCGGGCGCCCGCAGCAGGGAGGTGACAATCTGCAAAGGACACAGCAAGTCATTAACGAATGTGACACACGCTTGGGCCGCTTGGGGTTGGAGAAACAAGGTTTCGGAGCGGCATTGATGGAGAACCGTCTAGGCATTCACGGTGTAGAGAGAATTAGTTTGCGCCTTCCGGAACCTAGGTTAAGCTGTGTCATGATTCATCCCAGTAGTTGTTTGGATGCTGTTTGTATTGTTGGACTCCACATAGAGGTCGACTCTCTGGCAGACTGCAAAGGAAACTCCCTTAAAAATAGCTTTATGTCAGGCTGAAGACTTCTTCAGTCTCACTCTCGAAGCCATCCCCGCTCCAGAAACTTGTTCCACCATGTTATGGTCTCGAAAAAGAACGAAGTTGCTCGAAATTGCGCTCTTAAAGGATCACCGAAATGATTAATCTTAAAGAAAAAAGAAACAATAAGAAGAAGAAGAAGAATGAAAAAGGTCGAAAAAGGTCGGGACGCACCAACTCTTCCGAGACTTGACGGAGTCTTCGATGACCGGACGGGCTATTCAAAAGGCAACGGTCGAGTCCGGTCGCTTTACAATGCACTACACCTTCCTCATTCAATTCGAGGGGCCCCTATCCCAGAATCCGAGGACAAGACATGTGGAGAATTTCTTGCGGGGAGAGAGTTAAAAAAAGAGATTTGTTTGGTGTAGCAACGGCCTGAGATCCGATTTGGCCTTGCTGTGACGGTCTCAACTCTGTCGGATCTTCACCGTCACTGCCGAAGAAACCACGGGGAGCACTGAGCGTTGCGAAACCGAGCCAGTTGTGACGCTGCCAGGTCGACGTGCTCTGAAGCTAGTAGGGATCCTTTTAGAAATGCTGTACCAAGAATCACACGAGAAGAAGAAGAAGAAGCTCTCTGGCAACATCGTAGCGCGACTAGAAAGAGCCGACCCCAGGTCACCTCCGGTGCGATGTCCAGGTCAGATCTCGCGTGTCCAGGTCACTCGTCCCCCGGCCTCCGACCGTTGTGCCGTCTTGGAGGCCGGCCCTGGGTGGGCGCTCACCGTTTGACGGAGGTCGTGGAACGACCGTCGCCGGTTTGACTCGGTCTCTGTGAGTGCTATAGAAGGGCATCAAGAGAACTGCGTCAAAGGGTTTCATGTCAAAAGCTGGACTTGATCAAAGGGAAAACAAAAATTATCATTTGAGTTGATCATTCTACATGTATATTTATATCAATGATTGGTTCTAAACCAAATATATGTTTGTGCTCCGCAAACACAACAGCTTGCTCTGCTGGTCGGGCCATGGGTTACCAAGGCAGCCTAACCCGAGGCCATCGCTTTTATGGTTCATGGAGAAGAGCCCTCGGTAGAACGGTGTCCTGAAGGTAACTTGATGTTTGATGATTTTTGTTACTTGGGGGTCATGGTGAACCTGGCGTAGGTCGAACATGAAAAAATGAAAAAATACGCAAAAACGCCGAAAGCTCTGAACCCATCTGAAACCTTCCACTCTTGTGAAGAGAAATTCACACAAACTAGTGATGGTATGGGGTGCGCAGTCGTCTGGATGTCCCAGCACTTGGTACAACTTCAGGACAAACACCTGCACCACCTGCTCCAATCCTTGCCTAACCTCTCAATCTTAGAAGCAACCGAGGCATCTCCGCGACGCATCTGCCGCACACATCCCCGCCGCACCCTCGCGGAGCGAGACGGAGAAAATGCCCTCCGCCACGAAGAAGACCTCCTGCAAAACGGTGCAGGTCTTTCGGAGTCGACGGACGAGTGCTCGTTGGTTGATGATCCGAACTGGAGTTGAAGCACAGCTGGAGCCCACTTGGAGCCCCTCTTTCAAGAGGGACCATCCCTGACATCCGACATCCATGCCCAAACACTCCATGTATGACCCAAAATGTAGAGACCCTCGGAAGAATCATGGGGCCAACGCTGGGAAAATGGCCCCGAAGACGAAAGGATGACCATGTTCAATCCGAAGACCAAACAGGTGGTTTTCCATGGTGAACTCCACATCCATGATGATTGCAGGAAGTGTAAATAGGTCATCCATGGAATCTTTGGGATGGAACCAGGAAAATGATGGTGTCGGCCAGCAGAATGAAGGAAGTTCATGGAACTTACATGGGGAAGGGGTCTTTGTGTACACATCCTGTAGTACTTATGTATCCCTAGGGCATCTTTGTTTGACGGGCAGCAATCCTCACTTGTGCAAGGGAATGGGAGAGGGACAAACATGCCAGAAATGCGTGGGAATATGATGAGCTCCTCTCACTCCGCCAAGAACCTCCAGGAATGTCTTTCGTCTTCCTTAATTTGATAAGTTCATATTCTGTCTACTTCTCCATCTCAAAATGGTCCTCCGGACGAACATGTCTTGGGAATCCACTTGGACATGTGGCAGAAGCAGCACAAACCTGTTTCTTCGACCCCACGAACCCCAAAAAATCCGCATCTTTGGCCTGGATGGGATCTCCCATTTGGCAGACCTGCCAGGCGCATCGTCGGACCGAGCCCGACATCGTCGATGTCTCCGCCGTCTCATGGAGGGTACCGGGGCGGTGGCGCCCTCCAGCCCTCCAAATAGTCCCCTCAAGTGACATGTCGGCATTTGGTAGAAGAAAATGGACCCTCTCCAAAGCATTCTTAGTGGAATTGCTATGTCAGCTTGGGAAGCAAGTGAATTTTGGAAAGGACATGTCTTGCTCTGGTATGAAAGCGGAGCAAAGTGTTGCATGTTATTTCTCTTCATTATTCCCCTGAAAACTTAAGGGCAAAGCGAGTCAGTGAGTCTCTGACAACTGAGACGTTCCGGCAACCTCTCGAGGTTTTGGCAAGAACAAACACCGAAGAATGCTGTAGACACCCCCCTTCTCTTCAAACCCTTGGCACAGACCCTCCGAGGGCCCTTCCCACTTGCACCGGACCAACCCGGTCCATTTGGACCCCACGACCACCACAACGGACCCCCCGTCCGGATCTTCGGCCTTCTGGCCTCGGGCCACCTGGCAGAGGGCAGGTGTGGCCTGCGGGGTCGGCCTCCACCCTCCCCTGGCAGAAAGGGATGGTCCAAAAAGTGTGGTGAAACCCTCATGACGAAGGCGGCAAAGGGCAAGCTGATGGCGTTTCTGCCGACATCAACCGGTCTCTGCGTCTGGTGTGTCTGGCGTGTCTGGGCAACTTGTACCTCTTCAAAATGGGGTTCCCATGTTGTTCCACGTTGGCCCCAGGTAGAAGTCCACATGCTCCCCGTTTGACCAGTTTGCTGACTTCTTTGGGGGCGCCCCGAGCCATCGAGTTCGTTGCACCCGGCGCTCCCAGTCGCCTGTTGGATCCTCACGTGAGGCTCCAAATGCAAACGCGAGGACCTCGCAACGAACGACCGGGTGTCCGGGTGTCCACTTTTGGAGGCTGGACTAAGTAAATCGGTCCCAGCTTAAGCTCCAAAAGAACCGGGAGGTCAAAAGCTCCGTGCTCAGTGCCCGGGCATGTCCAGCGACCGGAGCACCGGTGCCTTACGGGCATAAGCCATCCAGGCCGAGCGCCGGCCTGGGTCGTGGGTGGCGATGAGGTGCAGAAGTAGGTACACTGTACAATACTGTACACCTACGTGGCTGGCAAGCGGCCCCGATCTCGACGATCTCGGATGACTATGTTCAATCCGAAAACCAAGCAGGTGGTGAACTCCACTTCCATGATGAGTTCAGGGAGTGCTGTTGGAGACCTAAAGCCTCATATCATCTCCAACTGGGTGAGGCTGCGAGCCTAAGAGATAATGCCTCAGTGAAAAGGGGGGCTAGGATTGATTCAGGGGGGTGTAGGTGTAATGGATGGCTGGTAGTGCAAAAGCACCTCTTTCATCTTCAAGTGGCAGGGTGGTTGGAAGACCAATGAACGATGATGAACCTGTGCTCGGGCTAGCAAAGGAACCCGCAGACCCCTAAACGCCCCTGTCGAATCCAGACTTCCCACCAGGTACTTGGCTACAGCTCGACAGACTTGCAAGCTGCGAACTTCGACCATAAGACTCATTCCGGCATTTGGCCAGTGTTCAGATTCTCAGTGCTAGCTGGCTGGGACCCAAAAAGAAAACCATCAAATCCACAGCTGACATACCAGCACTACTCTGGGCGGGTCGGCGAGCTGTTCGGCCGCAGTCAGGGCTCCCGGACTTGTTTCGGAGTTCATCAAGATCTTGTGATAGACCTCTGCCCTGGCTGTGGCGACCACCCGAGAAAGCATCAAGAGCGCTAGCTGGCGCGGGATGCGGCAGGGTCTTGGACCCTGGCGATGTTGAAGTTCAACCTTGCTTCAAGGCGGTTACCTGCCTCTTCACGAGGTTTTATATATGTTTGATTCTTTTTTAAGTCCTTCATGAAAAATCCCCGACTCGAGATCTGTAGCTTCACGCCTCAAGACCGCGACGGCACATTTCTCCTCGCATCTCACTGTGGACTGACCTTGGTTCCAAAGAAGGAAAGACCGCGAGTGGCATGGGCATCGGCAGGATGGACCCATGCTCAGAACCTGCCAGCCACTGTCAAAATCTCTTAGATATCTAATCAGATTCATCCTTTTCATATCTTTTCATCCTTCATTGCAGAAGGTTCACAAGTTGAGCTTCAACAAGTACCCCCAGCCTGAGCACCGAGTCCGCTCGGACCGCCGCGGCCCGAGCCGCCACCGACCGAAAGGGGCTCAAGCCATGACGTCTGGGGCCACCCACGGGGGAGCTTGGTATCCAGAGCCAACTCGCCGAAGGACGAGCCGGGCAGAAGCTGTGCCATCCGGAGCCTCGGAAGTGGTGTAGGACGGTGCATGGGACCCATGGTGGGTTTAATGTGGTTTCATACGGTCTTGGGAGAGATGATGTGGAGGTTGATCGGAAAGAGGTTGATTGGAAGGGGCTTCAAAAGCCGGAAGATGAACAGATCTTCTTTGCAGACCATGTGGTGATGAGTCCCCTGTTTCTGCTGAAATGCTCTTGTGACGCACCTGTGAGCCTTCGGACACCCACGCGGTGGCGCCCGCATCGGTCCCTCGCGCAGGGTTGCGAGTCCACCGAGCTGCTGTTGCTTCCGGGGAGACTTCCTGAGCTGACTCGCATGCAGTCCGAGCTAGGCGGAAAGACATGTCAAGCTGCTACCCCGGAGCCACTGTTGTTTTTTGGGTGGAGCCCCAGGCTCATTTCGCACCGGACTCTGAGCGCTCTGAGCGGCTCTGAGCGCACCGTCACGTCGGACTCCGCATTGCGTAGCGAAGGCCGGGCAAAGCGGACAGGGACCTGCACGAGGGCGTCACGGGTGCGAGGTACGGACCAGTTGACATGCACTGCGATGTCGATGCCTTGGTATCTTGGCAGAAACTGAATCTGCTCCAAGGGGCAACTGGAACAAAATAACAACTTGTAGGTAGATGTCACACGAAGTTCTTCGGTTGACGATGAAAATACCTGCACAATCCTGAAATTCTTGGAACCCTGTGTTGCATTCTCTACAGGAGTCAAATGTCTGGCATCTTCGGATGCCATCGTGCCAGGTCTCATCAAGTTCGACGGAAAAAATAGGATCCCCACATACACTGTATATGTGGGGATCCTATGTTTTTTTCGTCGAACTTGGTAACCTGACAAAACCTCAAAGTGAGATCACATCCAATCCCCGTCAGGTGAAGCCCTTCTTATCAGATCCACCTCCTCGAGCTCATCGGAGTCACCTGAGTGACGCAGAGTGTGACAAACCGGCGTCTGAGGTTGATTGGGTCCGAAAAAATAGAAAAGGAAAACGGATGGAAAACGGACCAAGGGAAAGCAAAGGGCAAGAGTGGCCAAAGGGTCTTTTCTGCTCCTGGTACCACTCTTTTTCGAACCTGCCAGTTTGTAACCAGGTGAGTTCCACAATTCCTGGGGCAACCTGCTGTCACTCAAGGCGCTGCCATAGTACCGTGTCTCAGCCTGCCAAAGTGCGAAGCTTCGGACTTCAGCGTTCCTCTCCAACTTCAATCCGGATCGACTTCGAAAGGCAGAAAGAAAGACCCAGCCAAGCTCAAATACGACCTTTACCAGCACGTCAAAATCCAAATGTCACTCTACCTGCCTCTTTCAGAAGGACATTCCCCCTACCCGTCAGGACATCAGAAATCCACAAATAGAAGCCACAAGCACTGACATATCATGTCTATGAGGATATCAGCCGAAAAGAGATGAGAGAACAATGTTTGTACCACTTGTGTTGGGACATGAGAGCACAGCATGCACATACAGCGCCTAAACAACCCCCCACCATGTCAAAAACGATAATGAAACAGCTCCTCTTATAGCATCACACAACCCTTCAAACACGACATGAAAACATGCACATGAGCAAAATCTACCTCCCACTCCCCAAAGGTGATTCTAGTTGTGACTTTCTTCCGGAAAAGCCTGGAAGCCGGTGGACTGTCGGTGCCCTCGTCGATCCTGTGGATGTGACAGGCTTGACATGGCTTGACCAAATCAGGTGTGGGTAGCTTGCTTGATGGCCTCAAAGTGGCCAAGCCTCGAAAATGGTCAAGCGGTTGGCTTGATGCTAGGTCACAGCTTTGTTCCAAGATAGCCTTGAACATTGGTTTCACTTGGGATTCCGGGTAGATCCTGAGTAGAGTCGAGGCCTTTAAAGTCAGTGCGGTCGAGGCATTTAAAGTCAGTGCAGTCGAGGCAGTTGGTCTTGTGACAGGGCCACCCAAGCCACGGTTGTTTCCAAAAAATGAAATTACCCAAGCAGCAAAAGTTCATCTACCGTATTCGGGAGAACATACCCCCACTTCCCATCTAAATGACGTTGAAATGGAAAGCACATGGCTTTGGTCCACTTTCTGCAAAAGAATGTTGTCATGAGAGGCCCCTCAATCTGTGTACACACGACTCAACTCTGAGGGCATCTCATAGGACGAAGGTCACTGTTTATTGACAGTCGAAGTTGGAAGATGGACCATCGTCCTCTGCGAAAGTGTCATAACCTTTAGGGGATACCTATTGGCTCAGCCCTCGGTTTCGAGAATGTATCTTTTTGCTTGAAATAGGACAGAGCCAAAGGGGCATACTTCTGGGTTTGGCTTGAAAGCAACGAACCTTCTCCATGTTCCTGTTGCCAATGGGCGCCTTGGGTACAACGAAATGAGCCACCTGGGTCAAAACTCTGGGACCCATCAAAAAAAGTGCACCTCGAAAATGTGTTACGAGTTCCTGTAACTTCGCATGTTTTGGCATGTCCAGGGATGCTTGGGTGGTCCTATCTACGTTCTTAGCGGTCCGGCAACGTCGCCTCCGCTGCTTCCATAGCGACGCCCGCGGCTTTCTCCTAAGCAATGCTCGTCCGTGTGCTGTGCCCACGGCCGTGGCAGAATTTGGTGTTCCAAAGTCGGGAAGATATAGGTGAAGCATCTCTGTTGAGTAGTCATCAATTAATCGCAAATTCATCAGTTCACTTATCAATTCTCAGCTTATGATATTGGAGCATCTTGGAGGAAGAATCCATACATCCCTAGGCGTCTTCCATCACGCACAACAGGCCCCTGTTTAAAGCTTTCCAGATGATCAGGTGCGGATCATGGGAGGGGACATTATACTCAATAAATGGATTTGCGGACTTCACACAGCAGTCTTGGATTCAACTGAAAATAAAACAACAAAACTTACATATGATTGCCTCGTGCATGGGGTAGTTCAAGAGGTAGTTCGAGAGACTTCACATGGGTTGTGAACTCAACACATACCGAGCCCGGTATCACTTTGTGCAAACCAATGGGGGCGTGAGAACCAATGGACGAGACTTTGTCTGATCAGCCAACATCCACAGACGGCATCGCGTCTCCTCGTGGGCAGGAGCCCCTAGTAGCGTCCTTGCTCCTAGTAGCGATGCCAGGAGCCCCTAGTAGCTTCTTGTTAGTAGTAGTAATGCCATTTTCCAATGCGGAGCCGCGGGCTCTCCGATGCTTCCAGGTCTTGCCATTTTCAAGCCGTTCTGAAAGCCGTTCTCACCAGCGGTGGGGAGCGCCATGTGAAAGGGGCGTGTCTTACCCCCCGGCCTCTACCTGACGGAATAGTCCCTTCCACTTAGAGGCCCAGACTGGCCACCCCTACCACACCCGAACGATCCTCAACACAGTTCTGCTTCCACACATACCCATGGCGCCAACCGAGACACCATGGCGCTCTCGTCCATGGTCTGCGAGATGCGCCGATTGAGTGCGCGTCCACCCAGACGGCTCTTCGCCTTCCTCAGTGAGGAGCCGAAGAAGCGTCGGAACTAGGAAGGACACCCGCTCGAAGACCCAAAGGTTTTTCACCATTTAGAAGGACAAGAAAACAGCCGCAGCAGCAACGAGAAGGGCAGAGAAAGAACAAAGCGAAGAAGGAGAAGAAGAAGAAGAAGATCGGATTTGCGATCGACCAAACACCTGAGATTGCTCCTTTGCTCGTGCCAAACAGAAAATGAGACAAATCCTACACTCTTCCACTCTTCGACATCGACGAACAAGGAAGGACCGCGGTGCCCTTCGGCAGTCCTTCTGCCTTCCTCGGGCCTCCGGGCGCCGCTTTGGCCTCGGGCGCCTTGGAGTCGACCCGACGACTGCCACCGAGACCCGGGAACTTCGGACGTGGGTCACGACCTACTGGCATCCCATCATCGCACGGGCACGGGGTTCGGACGTGGAGGCGAAAACCCAGGATCCAACATGCTGTTGAACCAATGAACAACGACAGACGAGGAGGACGAGCTGACGACTAGCTCCCTGCGACGTTTCGGCCCTGGTTTCTTTTCAGGCAGTGGCCAGGACCTTGCAACAGCTGTTCGTGATGTTCCAACAAAAACAAAGGATTTGACACTGCCATGAAAACCGAATACTTAGGCACTGAACTACATAGGAAAAAGAAAAGTATATATATATATTACATATACATTAAATCAGTGTAGACGGCTTTGGGTGTCGCTTGCAGCCAGTCCCGCCTGAGCTGCAGAGTGGTCGACAAAGCGCTGCTTTGGCTCCTGTCACTCGCGATGGCATGGATTGGCATGGCGAATCCAGTAGATGGCTAAGTCTGGATAGGTATGCCAGATGACCGATTCTTGAGCAGTGGATAGATTGGATTCTTCCCAAAAGTGGACAGTTAGATTAGATTGGGCTGCTAGGGCTGCTAGGGCCGACATCAGCTTCACGGTGCAACACCCGAAACGAACCCTTCCGCGCAACCCGAAACGGCCCCGCCCCGCCTCGTCGACATTCCGGTGCACGCCTGCAGACCCAGCAATCAGCACGTAAAACCTGGGAGGGTGGCAACCACCGACCACGGGGTCGCGCGGGCGTGTCATCACGCGGGCGGTCAAAAGCCCGTCCCTCAAACCGAAGCAAGTGCAGCGACGAAGGGTTCATCTTCTTCCAACAATGTGATGCCATGCGCGGTCACAACTCATTCTGAGGGAATAGTCTCGCCGAATTCAAAGCTGGATGACCATCCCCTTCAGACCAGCTGGGTCGTTTTTGTTCATCAGATCAATTCGACTGAAATCTCAAAATACAGCTGCGTCAAGTATTCAAAAGGATGTACCGCCAAATACCACCCACATCCACCCGCCTGATTCTTCCTTTCTCAACCATTTTGGAGTCCAAAACCAACCCGAAACAAGAGTTGCCCAAAAAGATCCTCCCTTTGCACCACCACCGGTGGATCTCTTTTCCCCACCACCGGTTTACCTCCACTGCTCCGCCCTTCGACGGGCCCTCAGCGCCCCAACTCGGATCCAACGTCGCCTTCGTGCACCATCACATCGCCTGAGGCGCCGTACACGCGCAAACCGCGGCGCGGAAGACGCGCCCTCCGACACGCACCTTCCAGGGCAGCGCTCCGAGTTTGCGGAAAAGCGTTCCTGTGCGCCTTTCCGAGACGGCGTTTAAGGTTCATCGGTTTTGGACGGAAAAAGCCAGCGTTCATCGGTTTTGGGTGCCCCGTTTGAGGGGTCAGGACGAATGCGACGTTGATCGGATGCGGCCTTTGGCGAAGCGCTGCAGCGTCATCTGGCGACCTGCAGCGTCATGTGCGTGTTTCGATGAGAGACGCGAGCGTGGATCAGAACGAAAAAAGGTTCGCAACAAGCATAAGCAGCATGAGGTGCAGATTTCTGTTAAGGGAAGAAATTGTTCACCAGTGCTTCAGATTCCTGATGGATATAGTCAACCCCTGAATAGATTGAAACGAACCGTAGAAATGGAGAAAAGCCCCTCTGAAATGTGTTGGAGTGTTGGATGTTGTTTGACCTATATGCAACGATCATCCCAGTCTTTACACATCTTGAGTAGAGACGTTTGGAACCACATCCTCGACAACACTGAGCGGGCGGGCAGTGCTTAGTCCGCGATGGTCAATTCCACAGCGGCCATGCGATCTTCGAAGGCCCTCTCAAAAATGTCCCACGCCACCGGTTGGGATCTCAACATGCACACAGCAAGGACCAGATCAGCTCGCCCAAGTCCCTCTTGAAATCGGCAAGTTCGTCCTTGTTGAAGCATCTCACTCTGCTTTGACCACAGTCACAACAGCGTCTGCAGCAAGCGGCAAGCCTGCCCTCTGCCACCTGCTCTTGATTGCCCAGCCAATCTCCACCATGTAACAGTTCTGCGAGTCTGGCAATGAAATTCTTTCATCATCTTTCATCTCCTTCTTTGGCTCTCTCCCTCTCATCCACGGGATCACGGGACTTCCCAGGAATCCGCTCAGCCACCAGGAGTCATCCACAGCCGTGACACGTCGCCGCGACAGTCGTCACACATCGTAGCTCGGCGATCGGACACGGAGACGGAGACACAGCTGCCAGGGAGGTGAGTGAAAAAGACCTGAGGAAGTCGTCAGTGAAGAAAGACCAACGCACCCCTGTGTGTCAAGAAACAGGATCGTCATCCTCCGTCTAAGGCCAAGAAGCACCTCAAAAACCGCACTCAAACAATGGCTTATGAACTCATGCAGGTGAAAAGTGTGCACCTGACAATCAATGCAAATCAGTTTGTGTTGATACACCACAGAACGTCCCTTGAACAGCGCCTCAAAGAGACTCCAAGCAACAACCGTTCACAGCACGAAAAGAAATAGTGAGCATTTTCTGTCGAATGAAAAGAAGAAATCATAAATATCTACTCTAGACATCTCATGTATACTATTTCCGAAACAAATCTGAATCGTGTCCACCGGGAAGGTCTTCCGCACCTGCAATCGTCTTCCCAGGGGCCCCGACACAAACTTTTCAGGGTCACCGGATCCAGCCTGCAACACTGCGAAGCAGCACGCGGACCCCACGAACGGCCCCATTGAAGGATACACTGCGAAGCAGCACGCGGACCCCACGAACGGCCCCATTGAAGGATCTGTGTTAAGGCAAAAAAAATAGAAAAACGAACAGAGAGAGAGAGAGAGGACTATGTTTTAAAGTTACTGTGTTTGGGTTGGAATTTTGAATAGATCAACATGTTGTAAGCTTATCATATGTTCTATTATATTGAGTCATTCTATATAACTTACTTGCTGTCATGACTGTATATAATTACCTAGGACCTATACCTCAGATGAATTGGTTGCAACAAGAGTGTGCCCAGATTTAGTTGGCAAGTCTTTGCATACAGTCTTTGTCCAGGCGTTTGAGCGCTGGAGTCCGTATTTCTTGCAGCATGTCCAAGTTCTACAAATTCGAGAGACAACACAATGTTCCAAAGGTTTCTTTTCGAAATCCAAGAGCAATCAAGAACGTCCTGGTATGTCTCTAGAACTCCTGGCGCGTCATATCATGAACTTGCATCGAGTGGTCCAGTGATCAGAAAGAAACATGTTTCTATTGTGCCAAATGCAAACGTTTGTAACATGCATGCCAATTCGTGGTGTATATATATATGGTCCTCCCCCCAAGAACCACCTCTTTATATGTGTCATTGTAATTTACAGTGTTATATTATTCACACTTGGGGACCTGTGTGCAAATAGCTGTTTTAAACACTTTCCATCCACATAGGGAGTACCATATGTATATATATATATATAAAAATCAAAAAAAAAAAAAAAAAAAAAAAAACTATCAGGACTATTGAGACCTCCTCCATAGGATGTGAAGTTTTGGATCTGTTGGATTGTGGTTTTTGACACAGTCTCCAAGTCCAACCCAATATGACAATATAGTTTACACATAATATGTTGATGTACTATATTCCTACCAAATTTAGAGCGCAGGGCGCTGTGAGTGTCGATTTGTTATTGCTTCTCATATGTTTCTCATTTTTGCAATGATACAAATTTTATCTATCATATCTTCTTTCATTGGTATTAAATAGTCTATCAAAGTACCTATATGCCAATATATTTTACAAATGATACTTTGTGTACTATGTTTCTACTAATTTTAGAGTGCAGGGGGCTGTGAGTGTGCACCTTTTTCTTGTTTCTCATATGCTTCTACCTTGTGTCATGTGATAGAAATGTAAATGAAGGAGCTCAACTGGTGAATAACTATGCGTTGCAGTGTTGCAGTTTCATGTTTAGTATATTGTTGCTTTATGGGTCTTTATGTCATGTAAGAATTTTTTAACAATGTCTTCTTGCTCTGGTAACGTAAAGCAAGTGAGAGAGGTATATATAAGTACAGTAGTATTCATACTGTAGTTTATATATACAAGAACTAAAAGTTCAATAAATGCTGATAATACTGCAACATTGTTCTAATAAAACAAAAATCAACATGTTCTAATAGTAGCGTTGTTAGGATGATGATTTTGTATGTAACTGTGTAAACGAAAAACGTGTATCTCGGTGTAAGATCAAAAAATACAACCTCCACAGAATCTTCATCAAATAACCATGTGACCATGTATATCGAATAACATTCTTGAAATTTTTTGTTTTTGCATTTTGTTGGTTCCATGCGTCTTTCGAGTTATAGTTATACAAATAATTTAACAACATACCAGATGTTTAACTGCTCTTCTGTCAGGCCTGTAGGGTCATTATGTACATAGTATGTCTCCTTGTCTTCATTCTAACCTCTGCTCCATACATGTCTCTGTATCCATGCGACAACCACCAAACACAAAACACATACGAAACACAACCAAGGAAAATACACTCCTTTCATCATCTGTCTTTCTACATTATGTTGGTCGCAAAACACAAAAAAAATCACAAATGTAGTTCTTGGGGGGATAGCATATATATATATATAGCACCAGTACAGTGGAGTGCCCGTCTCTATTCCACAATGGAGTGCTGTTTCTTTTTGCATCATCTTTGGTCTGGCCAGAGTTCATAGTTTCGAGGAAATATAGACTTTTCCTCCTGTCCTCTGGGCCTTGCATGATTTCAAACTGCGTGAAATTACCAGACATTCTGATTTGCGGCTGCAACAGCGGGTGTTTTGCGGGAGTTTGTGGGCATTCTTGAGAGGTGATTCTTGTATTGTGGCACAACTTTCCAGTTTGTGGAGATTTTTACGGCATGTGATTTGGGATCGATATGTGGCATGCATTAGAGCCAGCTTGTTGAAAGCCGTCTTGGCCATGGCCATCCCAATAGAATCTATAATATAGCTCATTTTGGTGTCTTTCCGAGGAGATTCTTGTAGTTGCAGGTCTGCGCCACCACTCGCAACAAAAGTGTTCATTCACCATCCCGGGCCGCGATACATCCCTCTGTTGAGCGGCACATCGAACGATACATCGAACATGAGCAAACGGTCACTTGACGCAAACGTATGCCGATACAGTCCACCTGCAATACGCGCGATGACCATAGAATCGATTGCGCTCCCGGTCTTACCATCATCCATGGCATCAGCGATCCGTATCGAACCCGGGCGAAAAACCCTTCGGCGAAAAAGGCGCTCAAACAAACGTCTTCGGTTCTTGGAGCCAAACACCAGTGTCGGAGTGGGACAATGCACCGGGAGTGGGACATCTGATTCATCTTCGGTCGAAAAAGTGCTTCCCAATTTCCAGGTTCATCTGCTCAGCGGGCGCTTCTCAGCTTCGAGCTGTGAGAAGTGTGGTACCTCCCGCATGACGGCCTCAGTGCCAGTCGGCTGGGTGGCTCTTAGACGTGCGTGTTTACGAAGCAGATGAGTCGAGGGCTCCGTCCGGTGCGACGTCAGAACTGACGGGTGCGGGTCGCGAAGGGTCGGTCCCAGGGTGTGTCCTTTCTAACAAAGGAGAGGGTGATGTTCTGGTGAAACCCGACGGGTGAAACCCCCACCCCGGTTTTTGAAACGAAGCGACCCCCGGAGAATGATGGTGCAAAGGCAAAGGTGATATTAGAAAGACGTTTTTTGGGGGGGGGGCATCTACCTCCGCTTCAATCTGCACGACACAAGGACCCGATGGGATTTGTGAGGCACATTGGCACATCAAATGTGGCAAGAAACACACAAAACAGGTCCGCCGATGGTCCAAAACAGGATTTGCTTGGTTTTGAGGGTGACGCTTGAGGCCACACCCAGCACTGGCCGATGGGGACCTTTGGAACCTCATCTTCCACCGACCCCGAATCGCGCCGACCTCTTTGCTCCAGCAACTCGGGCTCCACCTGCATCTTTGAGGTCTTCTAGCGAGGGCCTCCACCTAACAGCGTCCTTTTGGAAATACCTTGTAGCCCTTGTGGGCTTCCACCGCTTGGGTTCGCCCCAGCCGACGCGATAAAAATCTCCCCTCGCTGCCCCCACAAAAGGGGCGCCCAGTGGCCAGCAGTAGCGTGAGGTCCTGCTCCGTCCGGAAGTCCGGTGGCAATTTCAAGACTTGGCAGCACGTCTTTTGGCCTCGAGCCGAACAACACCGAAGAACGAGGTCTCTTTTTGTGCCAGAAAAGAGTGGTAGAACATAAAACCACTTAGATGGGTGCTAGATGGGTGTGTAGTAAAACAGGGAGACCTCCCAGTTTTACCCCGCAAGAAGGAAAAGCGACCAAAACTATCCAAAACCCTTTGGTTGGGTGTCTCCTCATCAAATCCACCCCCGTATAAAGCCCAAACGTGGTTCGATGATTCATGACTTATCTTCCTCGATGAGGGCTGGCAGTTTCGAGGAAAGTACCCGAAAAATGAGCTGGGCTAAGTAGGTGGATATTATCCATCTGCAACTTCCACATGTCCGCGGATAGCTTGCTGTTTGCCCACGTGCTCAGACGGATGGTGGCATACCCATCGTTTATCACAGGTGAACACTAAAGACCACCACCTGTAAAGACCAAATGAATGGTGATCTGCATCCGGAATATTTTCACATCACCCTGCTGTGTCTCAGCAGGGTTGATCTCAAAATCCCAAGAAAGAGTGAAAGAGCTGTCTCATTGCCGTTGATGGAACAGATCACACAAAAGCCACCAAATCCTGCCAACAAATCTAAAGAAAAAACTACTAGGAACTCTACTCTGTCCATATCATCTCACTAACTCCCCCGCTCGATATCCCCGGCTCCCCAAACCCAGCGCCCAAGAGGCGGCTCGTGAGAGCTAACATCCAGAAGACCTGCGCGTTTCATGTGCAGCGTTGTCTCGGACAGTCACCAAGAACTGCGGCTGCACTTGCAAACGAGGTGGAGACGGTCCCAGTCGTGGCTCCACTCCCCGAAAGGACGAAAAAGAACAACGACTTCCGGACTGGACGCCCCGAAAAGACGAAGCTTCGAAAGAAGAGAGGGCTGCTTCGGATTGAAGGCATGGGGAGTAGGGATGAACGGTGTTCTTCTCAAGGACAAAATAGGATAAACGATTTGGAATCCTTCTCTTTTGCGCATGCGCCCATCGAAAACTGACCAAAAGGCTCAAAACCGCTGAGTCAGGTCTGATTTCGTGTCGGGAGCGTTCACTTGTTGCACCAAGCAGGCTACAAAGCCCTTAAATGCCCAGAGCGTCCTATGATGCTCGTCCGATGCTGCAGAGCACCACCGCACAAGGCAGAACCCCAAGTGACAATGGTCCCATCCATGAGGACAGCGGCAAAGGCACCCAAGCGGGATCCGCAAACCTGCCGGACGTTCTTCAGGCGATCTTGGACTTTCCTGCTGTTGCCTCCGAGAAAGGCTGAGCCCCAAGTCACCAGCGTCTGATCGGATAGGATGGCTGCAAACGCGAAAGAATTTGAGCAAATCTCTTGCACATCCTTCAGGCGCTTCTGGACAGCCCTGCTATCACCTCCATATTGTGCATCCCCCCATGTCACAACTGTTCTATCCTGTCGGATTGCCGCAAAAGCCCGTCTGGATCCACAAATCTGCTGCACATCCTTGAGTTGGTTTTGTTTCAACGTGCTTTTGATACAAGAATCGTTGTGACCCCAGGTGACAACACATCCGCTGTCCAGCAGGGCAGCAAATGCATGTTCATTGCTAAAGAGCTTCTTCACACTTTGAAGCTGAGGTTGGACTTTGTCGCTGTTGCCGCCCCAACCTGAAGCGCCCCAGGCTACGACCGTGCCGTTGGCCAGCAAGGCTGCAAAGGCTGAGTTGGTGGAGCAAATCTGTTGCACGTGTTTAAGTCGATGTTGGACTTGGCTGCTATCACCCCCACAAAGCGCGTCGCCCCAAGTCACGACGCTTCGATTCGACAAAATGGCAGCAAAAGCCACGGCGTTTGACACAACTTGCTGGACACCCACAAGTTGATCTTGGACATTCTCGCTGTTGCCACCTTCATCTGCATATCCCCATGTCACAACTCGTCCATCTAGCCGAAGTGCGGCAAAGGCACCGAACGTCCCCGAAATCTCCTGAACCTTGAAGAGCTGATCCTGGACTTCCCTGCTATCACCACCAGAAGCAGGGCAGCCCCAAGATACAACCGTTCCATCAGAGCGGATGGCGGCAAAGGCTCCATCCGTTGACCTGATCTGCTGGACCTTCTGCAGCTGATCTTGGACCTTGCTGCTGTCAGCACCAGAGTCCAGAGAACCCCACGTCACCACCCCACCATTGCAACACCAAAGAGCAAAAGCCGAATCTGTGGCAACGATGCCAGGCGACTGGGCGATGGCAGTGACAGAGTCTCCGTCATGAACACCAGCCAAATGAAGAGGATGGTTGGATGTTGGATCTAAATATGTTCCATCTGAAGCCACCAGCCTCACAAAGCCTCGCCCCAAGGCCTGCTGCACAGCGACTTTCAAATCGCTCAGGCTGGAATCCTTTGCGAGGGACACGATTTCACTTCGCCCGCTGGGCCACAAGACAGTGACTGAAATCCGACCCAGGCTCTGCAAAGCCTCGGATTTCGTGGTGTGGCTCTGTCAGCTGGTGCAACAGTTCGACGCAAGTACTAGAAGAAAGATCATCACTTTTAGAAGGAATCACCATGTGTACAAAACAAGACACCAAAACATGCAAATGAAAAGTGGGACGGGAACAAAAACTCAAAAGCCGTTCCAGCAGCTCCGTACAAGGCTGCAGCTCGACTCTTCTGCATCACTCTGCGTCTCACTGGTCCATAGGATGCCATCAAAAGTGTCAGGATACTCACAGAGGGCCACTCTCGAGTGGTGGTTTTTGGAAAGAACACATCACCTGGAGCCCAAAGGGAGCAAGCTCTCGCATACTTAGCAGGTCGTCCTCCAAGTCATCAAGCTGGGTCTTGGAAATTCGGAATCCCGAGCCTTTCTTCCTGGATCCCGAGCCTTTGTGAACACAGCCAGGCGGCTACACAAGGCTCCCTGGGTGATCAAGGAATGTTATTGGTCCCTGACTCCAGTCATCTACGAAAAGAGCCTCCCACTTGAGGGAATGAGATCCAACATAATCCAACATAATCCATACAAGATGGACAGTCATCAGATGAAACTCAGATACGTCGAAGTGCGGGCGATTGAAACGGGTAGCGAGGAAAAGCAGAAGAGGGACTCTGAAAAATGACCGACGGTCCGACAGCGACATGCACTTCTATCAATTGACATGTTTGCCTGTAATTCGGAACGGATCCAAAATCCGGAAAGGGATCTATTTCTGATAACCGCGGGAGGCCGACTCAATCGGAAACCTTTACATTCTGACGCAAAGTCCTTTGTTCCTCAGGGTGATTCCCCTTGCATCAAGCACAGCACTTCCACCCGCCAAATTCCGCTCGGTGGTACCCACTTTGAGCAAAACAGAAGATCCTACAGGAACTCCTACAAGAGAACATCTATATCTATATGTATTTAATATATATATATATATTTGTTTTCTTCAGAGTGGGTAGATCGCAATGTTGCTTGGTTCTTGGGGTGGGAATGGCCAACATCTTGAGTTGGAAAGCCCTACAGCACTCCCAGCACTCCCAGCACCCAGCTGCACCACCCGTCCGGCCTAGAGGGACAAGCAGACTCCATACAGGTTCCGAGTGAGAGCGGCTGTGCAGGGCTGCCCGCACGCAGGGCTTGCACCCGGCGCCGGCCCACCCTCTCCCCTTTGAATTGACCTGAATTCTTGTAGTATATATTGTGTCTACTAGCTTCTTGTTCCTAGTAGTAAGGCCCTTGCTCCTAGTAGCGATGCCCTTTGCTCCTAGTGGTGACCTGGGAATTGAGTGATGCGAGAAACTGGTTCAGGACCGGTCTTGTTTGCATCATCGTGTTTCCCACAAGATCGCCGGAATGGCCAGGCCAAGCAAGTGAAGTATAAATGGATCATCGACTCATATCTCTACCAGTTAAGAGGAGTACTCATCTGATCCAACATGAAAGCTAAGGTTGTGAAAAAGAACCTCCTGGCATCCCTGGATGCCAGGACTGCCGCATCTGGGACCGCTGCCGCATCCCGTTTTTGAGGCTCAAGGCATCGGAGGTGCTCCGGATCTGTGTGTTCGGGCACAGGGAGACCCTCCAACCAATGGTTCAGTTGATGATTCCCGATTAAAAGGGTCTGGGGTATCTCTATTCTAACACATCCTCCTGTCCATTCCGAATTCCGAATTTCACACAAACGGTCACTGTAAAGGAAAGAGGCATCTGCTTTCCTCATCATACACCCACACAAAAACATCTTCTACAACGCTCCCATGGATTGGAGTGCGACTCATATCAAAATGCAAAATAATGATCTTGTCGAGCTGTCATGATTTGCTCTGGACTGCGCACAGGTCGGTTGGCCACTGACATAAGATGCTAGATGAATCCATAGACTTTCATCGATTGACTCCACAACAATGATCTAGGACAATTCTGAGTTCCAACTCCTGCACCGTTCGCCAAGAGTCTCGTAAGATAATCCAAAGCTCTTCGACCTTTCTCGAAAGAAGATCCGTTGAACACAACGAACCCTTCGACCGTGTTCGCCCCGAGGGCCCTCGATTCCCAGCATGTCGTCACCTGCCGCAGAGGAGACTGCAGAAATAAGGGCCTCGGGCAGCAAACAAAAGAAAAAGGAAAATGATGGCAATGGCCTCCAACCTATTAGCGATGCAAAGTTTGGAGGGAGTCCTGGAAGGAGTAGGGAAGCAATGGCTCCAAGTGAGACAAGTCCAGGTGCCGCCGTTTTTCATGTGGTCGAGTTGTCTGGGACCACAGGACCATTGAAGTGAACACATCACTAGCGATCGAGTACGCGCCTGCTGTGTCCTTAACAGGTTTAATGATGCTAAATTGATGTCCACAAATTTGGGGTCCAAGAAATCCACTTGGGGCCTAGAGTCTCATTGGCTCAGCAACTCGATCCTCTCGAACTCTTGAACTCTTCCAGAACTTCCATTTGGGTCTTTGGGTCACCTGATCTCCGATCCTCCCACCGGGTGGGTCACCTGATCTCGTCGCCGACCCACCCCGGAACGCCAACCCGAGGGACGGACGGGTCGGCGTTCCACCCACTGACGGATCGGTGCAACTCTGGACGACGCAGACAGGGACACAGCGGCGGGCGACGCGACACGGCGGGTGACTCCCGTGGTTTCATTCGGTTGGATTTGTTGCCCCTCGGCCCGAGGTTCTCCAGACTGAGCACGAAACCAAAACAAATCTAAAAACACTGACCAATCCTTTGGTCTAGACTCTAAGGATCCATGCGACCAAGGAAAACAGACAGGATGGGTAGTTTTGATGTAAAATCGACCACGAACCAGCAATGGTTTACCTGAACCAGGATAGGGGATCCACTTCCAAAATACGCAGGAAACCACAAGGGCCCTGCACTCAAACGGCTGTGGGTCAGCTGTTAAAGCCCTGGTTGATGACCAAATATGACCAAATTGGACAACCAGGGATGTCAACCTACCATGCTATGGGGACGTAGATCTCACGTCCCAGCACTCTCTGCAACCACGTTTAGCCTCCACCACACTCGCTCGTCTAAGCCCCACACCCGGAGCCCAACATCACCACCCAGGCGCGACAGTCGAAGCTGAGAGCGGGGTTTCACAACCCGTCAGGCGCTGCTGGGTTTTTCTGTGCAAGCCTTTGACTTTGATCTCAACCTCGAGTCTACAAGGTCTGTCAACTGGCTGAAGTTCCTCTGAAAGCTCCTGGGAAAAGTGTGCAGGGAAAAGAACGATAAAACATGATAAAACGAGGTTTTGCTCCAAAGAAAAGCCTTTCTCGAACTTCTTGGTCGAGGTCTGCTTGGTAGCTTTCTTGGCTTGCGTCCCTTCAGCCGTGATCTCGATCTCAGCACTTGATCTCCACTGGAAACTCGAAAGTCATAAGCCTATGGGAGCCATCAGACTGCTGTCCACCTGTCCATATGTTAACTCTTCAGACTGCATTTGGGCCTGGAAAGAATCTGCGGAGCCAATCAATCAATCAATCAATCAATCAGTCAGTCAGTCAGTCAGCCAGCCAGCCAGTCAGACAGTCAGTCAGTCAGACAGAGACAGACAGACAGTCTCACTGACCTACTTGTCTCTAAGGCCTTCTGAGAGCATAGATCGAATTGACACAATATGTTCGTTCCCATGTGAGGCCAGTTCGCCAAAAATGTCGAGTTCCGCACCGGAATCCAACGGAAGTGTACACAGCGAGAAGGCAGAAAGACGTGATGCACGTCTACACTCCACACATCTCTACACTACCTTGGCAACCATGAAGAGCTCTTTCTCCATTAGAGTGTCCATCAACAGTATCAATGGAAGAATAATCGGTTGTAGAAGCTCCGCTGCTGCAGAGACGCTCCATCGGTCGTTTTTGATCTGACATACGAGATAAACCAAGTCACCGGGTGTTCGGATGATGAGATTCCGGCTTGAAGCAACTCAATCTACTGCAAGTCATGTCTACCCAACCAACCAGCAAACTCACAGAACCATCAAGGCTCCGCACTCTTATGAGAAATCCAAGATGTTGCTGCACTAAGAGCTTCGTTTGAGACCATAGCCATAGCAGTGATGGTGACATGGCAATCGAGCTGCAAGCTTGAAACCAAATAACCCATTCCAGTCCTAGCCTGCGACTTCCAATGGCATCAAGCTGTTGGGTACCCGAGTCACCCTGTTGGTGAAGGGCAAAGAGCAACAGTTACAGAACCTTAGAGCCATGTGTCTGTCCCAAAAGCGTTTGGTAAAATGAATGGTTCCGGTGTTTGGCCGAATCATTTCTCCCTGAAGGATCACCAGCTGATTGGGACGAAGTGCCAATCTGGCATCCTGCCCTCCCCCAAAAAAGAGAACTAAATCAACGACCCGAAGCGAGAAAGAGGGTTTCCGGTCTTTTTGGTTGCTTCGCTCAAAAGATCCAGCAGAGCACATTGGTCTGGAAGGGGGGAAGGTCATCTTTGCTTCAATTTTCTGGGGCGATGTTCTTCACCTGCTTTGTAAACAGAATCTGTGGTTGACTTATCTGACGAAGTAGCTAGAAGGGGTCAGAGGACCTTGCAGCATCGCTTCTGTGTTTTCCAAGGCTTGGTGACTTGGTGATGGTTAAAGCGCTGGGTTCGAATCCATTTTCACCAGATGTCAAACAAGCTTGTGAACAAGAATGAGTCCATATGATTTCCCAAAACATATCGTATAGTTCCACATGATTCCCTGTGTTCCAAAGCCAAGTCTGTGAATGTTCCTCAAAAAGCCGGCTACACCATAACGACCTTCGAGCTAGCGAGTTTCATCGCTGCTCCCGACGTGCAAACTTAGACGCCCCTCCCGTGGCATTGGCGGGAGAGCCAATTACTCCGTGGGACTGGTGAAGCAAAACGAAAGCCATGAATGATACAGTTTGGGTTCCTTGTTCGCAGTTCGAAGGATCTGCAGTTGGGTGGAATTTCTAACTCCTCCGGACTCCCATTTGTCTGGCTATATACCACCTAATCACTTCTTGGAACCGACTTGTCTCATCCTCATAATGGGAAAAAGCATGAAAAAGCACTGGAATTGGACGCACCGTTCTCTTTTCATGGGCGAGGGATCTCCAAAGTCCTGTGGGGATGCACCGGAAGGGCCCCCGTTGTGCGCCAGTTGTGCTTGTATTGGCCAAGCTGTCTTGGTGGAGGAGTGGCAGGACATTGTCTTGCTATCTCAATCAATGCAAAAAGATTGCTTGTTCAGAAGTGATGTGGTCCATTGATCATCAGCATTTTTCAAAAAAAAATGAAAAGACACAACACCAGATCCACCGTCATACGGCTGATCTGCAGATCCCACACTGGAGTTGTTCCTCCACGCGGCGCCAGCCGCTCCTCATATCCGTACAATGCAACTCTTTTCCACCAGTGAAACCGTCAGAGTCCCAATCCTGGCGGAGTGACGGGCTGTCTCGGCATGTCAACAAAGCGGTCTTGGTGACCCAATGCATGGATTTGGCACCCAAAAATGCTCCCCCAGAAAAGAGGTTCAGTCCTATTTCGAGGCCTTTTGGGAGGACATACCTGTTCGATGGTGAGGCCGGCGCCCACACCTGTCTAGACATGTGCTGTTCATCTTTGGACCTTGGGTGAATCAAACATCCAACACTCTGAGAGCACCTGAAGGCAACCATTTACAAACGTTCACAACTGTTTTCTTTCAACATCTTCACACCAAAGCTGATCAGTCTCCGGGAAAAATATAGAGCTTCCAAGCTAGTGGTCACAGGAGCAAGACCCCTTCGTTTTTATCCCATATCGCTGCTTCACCTGCCCCAGAACCAGTGAAACATAAGGAAGAAAAGCTACGTATCCCCAGAGCATCATGGAAGCTGAGAAACGAAGACTTATTGGTAGAGGACAATGCTCCTAACTGATACTGTGCGGCGGATGGCTACAAAAACGCCATGCCAAAACTGTTGGCAACTGTGCGCCATGGACCACCCGGACCCGCGGAGGGCGAAGAGCGATGGCCTCCAACCGTCCCTACCCTATCTTTCTGGTGCCTCACTGCTGCAGTGCGTAGGGAGTATGAGCAGTGTTCACAGTGCCTGGCCGGATGGCTGGATTTGATGAACGTGGAAGCCAGACTTGAAGCAGAAATAGGAAAATGCTTTCTGGCAGTATGAACCGAACTACAGCCCCTTGAAACTATCTAGAAAGTGATGGGGGGAACTCTGAGCAACTCTTAGGCCGGGTCTTGATGGGAACAGACCTCATTCCCACCTAGTTTGGACGCCATCCATTCCAAACCGAGGAACATCGTTCTCATTCGTAAACCTCGATGACTCGCGCCAAACACGACTGAGTTCAGAAACCGAAGTGGAGAAGGTCGAAGTCGAAGTGTGTTACAACGGGACACGACTGACATGACTTCATCTTCGCAACTAGACACGACTGATGTGTTCTCACCTGCCGGTTCCAATGTCTCACTCAAAAGAACTCGGAAACGTCTGGGACTTCCTCGGATTGGGTCTCCGGATCGGTCGGATCGCCGGTTTTGGAAGCCGGTCTCGAGCTGCTCAGGCGACCTTGCCCTCAAAAAAGAGTTCAAATAGGCCTTCCCTATCTTCCCATCATCCTACCCCGCCTTGATCTTCCCATCTTCCTGAAAAAAGGCCGCTATTGATAAGGAAGTGCCCTTGCCCGTCCAATCATCTACCCTCAACCCGAGTGAGAAAATTCGTTTGTGCCTGAGTTGCCGTCGTTGGCGCCGCCACCCACATTGAATTTGGGGTCGGATTGGTAGTTCGTGGGCCAGAAGCCTCACGGCGATGTGATGGCCAGTCTGAGGGCGATGGGTCAAAACTTAAACCATCAGTCACAATGATGGGATGAGGGGATGATCATGGGCAGTCCATGTTTTTCGTAATCCACTGCGGTGGGTGTCGGAACTGCGCAGAGTGGTAGCCTCACTGCGCGTCTCCGGCTGGCTCTGGCAGGGTCTCCACCTCTGGGGTAACCTGTGGAGTTCACTGAAAACCACTGCATGTGCAGAGGAACATCGTCTACTCCGCGGTGGTCCGTTTTCAGGGACGACACGAAAATCGTCTCTGCAAGTCCTCGGGTCAGACCACCCAGCTCTGCTGCGCTCACAGGTATCGACAGGGCTCGACCCTGGTATCTGCGGAAAATGGGTTTGAAGGAAGACTGGAAGTCTTGTGGTTCGTGGAGTCTGTTGAGTGATAAAGGCAGAGACCTGCCTCAATCATCCAAAAAATGGTTGGACCTCTAGCGCTCTACGCACCTCTGTTCAAGAAAGATCTGCAAATTGATCATGATCTTCTATATAGATCAACCCTCAAGACCTTTGCGCAAAAAGAAATACACGTGGCCTTTGTGTTTCCATGTCCTGTAACATTAAGCTATTTCGCTTGTAAGAACCGCCTGCTGTAAGAGCCGCCTGCAGTGTGTGTGTGTGTGTGTTCATGGATCACTGCTGCCAATGGTACAATGAAGACCACGTTCTGATGTCTGCAAGTTCTTCAATCAGCCACTGTTTTCGTTGTCCTACCTCCATTGTCTTCGGGTTTCGACCGTGAGCCACGTGTGTCTTTGTCAAAGTGTCGATTGGTGTTGCACCCATGCAGGTTGATCTGTCTCTCTCCGCTCCCAACATCGGCTGGTGGGAAGGAACTGCAGGTCGTTCTTTCGCGGTGCCGCGACCAGTTCTCTCGCTTGTTCCATAGACGAATGGTATCATGAACATATGAACATATGGCAGCATGAATATGAGCAAACACGAAGACCCTAGAATCAAGAACACCACCAACACAGAGCCTAGCCGTGCACTCGCGGGCCAAACAAATCAACTTTGTTGAGTTCCCACACATTGAACGGTCATAGCCGGAAGAAGGAGACTCGCCCATTTCAGGGACTGCGGGTGTTCGTAGCCAACCCCCAAAACCAGGTGTCAGAGTCAGAATCTGTCAGTTTCTCAAGAGACCTAAATCGATGAAGTTGGATCACTTTCGGAATCGTGAAAGCTTGAATCGGATTCCCCAGAGCCTGAGGAATCCAGTCTTCTGTGACTGACTCTCAAAAGCTTTCCTCAAACCAACCCTTCGCCACAACAGAAACTGACCCGTCATGTATGCCGGGACATGGACGACATCTGCGCTTGGTGTGAGGCTGCAGCATGCTTTCAGGTCAAGCTCGCAGCATTGCGGCGCAGCACCCTGCGGTTTCCCCGTGGTTTCCCCAGCAATCGCCCAGGCGAATCGGATCCTGCCCAGAAACAATCCCAGGCGGACGTCTTGCTGCAGCAGGTGGCAGGCCCCACCTCAGAAGGTCAATTTCGTACCCAGCTCAGTCACCCAGCTCTTCGTGACCCAAAGAAGAGGAAGAGGAACACAGGGGACTCGGAAAGACTCGGAAGACTCGGGTGTTGATGCGGGTGCCTCTGAATAGAGACCAAAGTTCTGAAGCTTGGAGATCTTCCAGGCGACTCTGTCTGAGCAAACCGATCTTTCAGCTGCTGGATTTTGCGGTCAGGAATCTGTTTGGATCTACCTGGCGACTCTGAATGTATTGGCATGGCACCCGAGGCCTTTGACCACCACCCAAGATCGGCACCGCCTATCCCAAGACCAATAGCCGCAATAGCCCCCTTTCCCAAGAGAAACGAGTTGTTCATCTTGGACTCTATCCCTACAGTGAGTGGTACAAATCACGATGAAAAAGAAAAACTACTACTACTACTACTACTACTACTACTCCTACTCCTACTCCTACTCCTACTCCTACTCCTACTCCTACTCCTACTCCTACTCCTACTCCTACT